AAAAAAACTAATAATAATCGAAAATTGCATATGCCTATGAATAGTTCAACTTAAGTCGAAMATTTTTKAAAAATTGCATGGTGGATAGAATATATTTATATAAACATTTGTTGAAAAATGTATGTATCTATGGTCAAATTATTATAAAGTTACATCAAAAACCAAAATTGATTTTGTCGAAAATTTATTGTGCGTAAAATTTTCCGTTTTTTCCTTAATTTTAAGTTTGTTTATCCCGATTATTTCGAAAAATATTAAGAAATTTTTACTTTTGACCCCCAAAGTACCAACTAGTTTCTCTTTCTGATCGAAMGAGGTACTGAAGTCAAGAATTGAAGCACTTTTATTGCCCTAAAATSTGATGATAGACACAAAAAAAAAATATAATTTTATAAATAACATTAATATTACACCGATAATATTTGGATGCAATTAAATCAGCTAACCGGTTGTATAATATAAAGATAAATTTTAGCCATGTCTAATTATTTAAAACTAGATTGCTTGATGTTATACAGTTCAAAATTGCTCTAAATACAATTTTGTTGTTACTACATGAAGTATTTGAAACATATTTGTAGCTTGGAAAACATTGTTAAAGATATTTTCAAAAAAAGATGCAAATGCATTGAAACTCGAGCTTTAGTAATCAACTATAAATTATTTTTATCAAATACCTTTCTATTTTTGAGATTTTGGTTTCTAATAATGAATTGTATGTAAAAATAAAAATTTCTTCATTCAGTTCATTTACAAGCATTGTTCATATAAAATACAATTTTAATAAATTATTACTTCTCCCCTAAAATTATGTTCATATAACACTGAATATATTTTTAAAGTAATGGAAGTGTTATAGTCTTCTCACTATTTCTACCTACTATTAATTAAGTATGAATACTGAATTTTATGTATAGTATTAAGTATTAATCTAATATACATTAAAATGCTTATTTATACCAGTAACAATTCATATGCATACTGCATGTCTTTAGCTTTAATTGGGTATTCTTCTAATTGCAATACTGGACTTGTGACACATTGCTTCACTGTAATAAAATCTTTCCATTTTAAGGCGTTGTTAAGTTGTTGTAGAACATTAATAACTGCAGTCATAAAACATTTAAATAGATTAGAATGACATTTTA